ATTGGTACAAGATGAGTTGAGCAGGTTGTCCGAAGATCAAAGACGAAATTTGTTGGATTTGCCCATACAAATGCAACCAGAAGCAACAATGGAAGATGCCCTAGCTGGCGAGAAAAGAGAAGCTGCAGATGATGAACCTCGAGAACGGAAAGCAGCACGATTGGACCGTGAAGGCAGTCCTAGTTCCTCTCAGCTGTACGCACCATTCTTCGCTGGAAAGGTGGAGCTTCAGCCCCAGCAGCTGCACGATGATGAATGTTGGGAGGAAGGTATAGATTGGGAGATGATGGAGTTTGACATCGACGAGATTCCCACTGATTACAAAGGCGAGCAACCGCCAGAGCTTCTGCCAGAAGACCTTGAACAGCTCGATGGAGAAGCCATGAAAACAGAAGTTGACAAGCTTTCGAAACTTGGGGTAGTGAAGGTGTTGTTCGAAGAAGAACGAGATCCCAATGGTAAGTTTGTTGACCTTCGTGAAGTGTTTGATTGGAGAAAACGAGATGGTCAATGGAGAAGGCGGTGCAGGATTGTTGCCAGAGATTTCAAAACAGGCCCTTCCAATGAGGATACATTCAGTCCCACCTCGGCATATGGTGTCATTCGATTTTTCTTGATGTGCCATTTGATCTATGGATGGAAGATCACATGTCTTGATATCAGTGATGCCTATCTTACAGTCCCACAGGTTGAAACGTGCTATGTGGCAATTCGTCCTTGGATTCAGAAGTTGTTGAGTCTTCCTTCAAATGCATTGTGGGAACTCAAGAGAGTTTTACCAGGCCAACGGAATGGCGCACAACGGTGGTTCAATGCTTTCAGTGAGAAGTTGAGACAACTTGGATTTGTGCAGTGTCAAGCTATGCCTTCGGTACTGCGGCATGAGCACAAGAAGATTGTCATCAATGTTCATGTTGATGATGAGTTGATTGCAAGTGAGACCACTGAAGATGCACTATGGTTGATCCGAGAGTTGAAGAGATTTTACAAGTTGCAGATCGAAGGGCCATACCCGGTTCAGAAACTTGGAAATGGAGAAGAAGTCACATATCTCAAGAAGAGTTATCTTTTCGCGGAAAGTGGACTCTATGTCAGACCGAATTCCAAGTATATCGAAAGTCTACTGGCCTTATACGATTTGCGCGGAAGGAAAGAGAAACAGGTACCAGACCATAGCCTTTTGTGTCAGATTGATGCATCAGAAGATTTGGATGGGCCGAGACAGGCAAAATTTCGCAGTGGACTTGGGATTGCAATGTACCTTGCACACGACAGAGTTGATATTCAATTTTGTGTCAAAACGCTTGCATCGTGGATGAAGTCACCAACAGTACAAGCAGAGAAAGCGTTGATTCAGTTGATCCTATACCTGTCAGGTACAAGAGATTTTGCTTTTCACATGCCATACAGCCAGGTTGGTACAAAGATGGTGTACAAGCTGCACAGTGTCGATGAGTACCCAGAGTCAGAGATTCATTGCATGGAGGTGTACTGTGACTCAGATTGGGCCGGTGGTCCGAAGCGGCGGTCAACTACATCGGTGATGATTTTGATGAATGGTTTACTCTGTTTATCATTCAGCCGCACTCAAAAGAGCACAGCACTGTCATCCTGTGAAGCTGAGGTACTAGCTATGACAGCAGGAGCAAGTGAGGCATTGCTTTTGAAAGCAGTTTGGACATTTATGGTACAACAAAGTTGTGAAGTTGAAATGAGGTCAGATAGCAGTTCAGGTCGACAGTGGTTGCAACGAACAGGGCTCGGACGACTCAAACATGTTGACGTGAGACTATGTTGGTTGCAGTCGGCGTTGAAACAGAGAACATTGGATGTTTTACCAATAGGGACGAAGTTGAATTTAGCAGACCTCAACACCAAGAAGCTAAGCCAGGCACGTCGACAATTCCTTTTGTATTTTCTTGGAGTTGTGAGATTGAATGATGAAGGAAAGGTGAAAGAGAGAGTTGGAGAACAGGAATACTTGGATTCTTTGGCATCCGAGATGTGGAAACAACAAATCCAAAACGTCACGAGGTGGAGCAAAAACAGAACACACAAGTTGGTACAATGTGCGATGATGTTGCAAGCAATTTCATTGAAAGGATGTGGAGAACAAGATGCACCAGAAGCTGCTGAACAGAGCGGTAACCACCAAGTGGTGTATACACTGGTCATTTTGATGATCCTGGGTGTTTGCAATTACGTGTACACACATTGGAATGATTTCCAGAGGCTTCGAGGAAGGCTGGGCAGGAAAAGGAAGCGAGAAGAAGTTCAATCCCATGAACCAGAACCAGAAGTGGCTACGACAGTTGGTTTGACAACGAACAATGAGCTGAGCATTGGAGCAAATGAACAAGCAAGTTCGAGTGAGGGGCCGGTGCCACCAAAGCATCCGCCACCTCTTGGACCTCCACCACGAGCTCCAGTGTTTTCCCCCATTCCGGTGGATCCTCCACCGAGATGGGAACCATGGTCACCAGAGTGGTTCCTATACTGGATGCTTGGAAGAGTTGAAGATCGTATTAGGAGAAGAGGCCACAGAATGGACCATGATTGGCAACGAAGATACTATCACAGACAACAAATTCTTCAAATGCAGTTGGGCATTTTGGAACAAAACCACAGTGAAGGAGTTCGTGGAAGAGCTCATATGATGTGTCGGGGAATGACAGATTTGTCTCCCGACAGCCAGAGTGATCCAGGTCCAGAGATCGAAGAGGAGAATGAGCCGGAAGCTGAAGGTGGTGGTGAAGGTGAAAGTATAGATACCTATGTCTATACAACTGGAACAGCAATGGATGATCGGATGAGACAACATGTTGATGAACAAGATGGTTACTTCACTTCGAGCACACTACCAGGTAGAAGTTTACCAGCAGGTACAACACATACAGCACAAGACGACAACCATGAACCAGAAAGTGACAACAATAGCGATGATGAAGAGACAGCGTCCCAATTGAGACGCAGATATTTACAGTCCGGCTTGGATGAAGTGAGTGATCCAGAATATTGGCAACAGCTACATCATTTTGATAGCGAGCCAGATTCAAGTGGAGACGACAATACAAATCATTAAATTTGAATGTGGTATGCATGTTTGTTGGAGTGTTCTATGAAACCATCTGAACCATAGACACTCGAAGTATGTGGGTACCGTGCAACAGCTGAACCACGGTACAATACGACAATGGACAACGACAGAATTCATTTACATGCAAAGCAATTTACAAAGTTTTGGTTGAGCAAGTATGGATGTGTGAAACCAACTGAACCACACAATCCAGTGCAGAATTTGTGAAGGTTTTCATCGAAATAGCATTTTCGAATGTCGGAACGGAATGTATCATAGATACAGTAAGTGCAAGAGACCTTTTTCAGTTCTACCTTGCAGTGGTAGATCTTGCACAAAATCGAGAAGTGTACAAAACAGTGTGATGCGTGAACTTGAACGTTTCGCATCAAGGCTGGGTGTTAGCCTTTTTCAATGGTTTAGGTACAGACATGTACAGTCAAGTTAGTACACTGTTTGCTAGTTGAAAACTACTCCGCTACCGAAGCGCGTGGATCAAAACAAGCGTGCTACCAAACATTTGGACACGTTGCGCTGGAAGAAGAATTGATGAGGAAACACGACAGATTATGGAACCAAAGCCCCGCACACAACTCTTAAAGGGAATCCCAACAATTTACATAGACCTTGGTTTATGGGTACCTTGGGTGGACCTACTCATGTCGTCTCTGCAGCTGATTCCACTGGCGGCCGATGCCAAAGCCAAGGCGAGGTGGTTTTCATATCATTTGTTTGGGCGTCAACTTCCACATTTGAGGTTCTCTTAAGAGCCGGTCAGGATTTCTGCTCGACATTCCGTCATGTTGATGGTCCAATTCGTTCAGTGTTGGTTTGGGCCGGATGATTGTTGTTTGGACAAGGCGTTCTTATCCATGGGTCGAAGTAGGAAATGGGACGTGACGATTTCCAGGTGCTCTTTTTGCACAGCTGGAGTTGCGCGCCCTGGTAATTTGCACTAGCCAAAAATGTGATCCTTTCAAGCAATTTGAGACGCATCGGATCGCAAACCATGTATGGTCCGCGGTGTTCCGTATTGAGCCCGGAAATGGACTCTTTGTTTTCCCAGCCCTGGTTGCTTCGTGGTTGGCGAGGTTTAGTGCTCTTGGTGTGGTGGTTGGAAAAAGCTTCCATTTTGGGTTTGCCCCATTACCTGCAACAGTCGGTAAACAATTAGCGCAATTTTTTGAAGAAAGGCCTTTACAAACGATCATCATCTACTGTTACTGGCAATACCCAACTTCCATCAATCAAGTGCTCAATCGCTCCAGTGCTTTGTTGCTCTAGATCTGTAGATGAGCCACTATTGCGTAGGAGATGGTTGCAACCTCCTACGGCCGCATGCGGCCGGAATCGTGCGCAACATTCATTTTGAACTTTTGGGGGCATCAATTGACATCCATAATTCTTTAGACATTCATCCCTGGAATGGTTCAGCATAGTTCAGCCTGTTGCCATCCCTTCGACATCGTCTCTCCTGCGGTGGAGCCGAGCCCTGGTGCGATGCGACAGCGTCAGGTCCCACATGCCAAGAGATTTGATGGTCACAAAAAAGTTCGGATGGCCTAGGGGGTTCGGATGGTTCAGTTTCCGACTGCGGAATTCCCCGAACTGGGCAGAGATGAAAAGATACGAAGTTGTTGGAGGAAGTACACAAAATTCCCTTCCCTGGTGTTGATGTTAACAGCAGGTTAGGTGGTTATCCTTTGCATCACATAGCGAACTGCTTGAGCAGAAAGAATGTTGGAAAAACTAAAGAGATCTATATAAGTCAACACTGCAAACTGTGGAGAACGACCTGCTAACGCTTTTTCTCAGCTTGATCCCCACTACCTGACTTTGCACTCGGCTCCCTGTGATTCCCGGCTCCACCAGCGTTTAGCTCCACCCAGCTCCACCACGGCACCCGCCCCACGTGACCCGCGCCATGTCGGTGACCTTCGTGAGCCCCGCGTCCGCCGGCGCCGCCCGCGGCACGGCGCTGCCGGGCGTCGGAGCCGCCCCGCGGGCCGGTGCCACCGGCAGCTCGGGCGCCGGCAGCGCGGCCGGCCTGGCGGGGGCCTTGTGCCTGGGGGCCTTGGCTTCCAAAGGCCAGACCTATAGGTGGAAGAAGTGGCGGACGGAGAGAGAGAGAGAGAGAGAGAGAGAAAGAGAGAGACTTTGGAGTCCAAAGTCACATTTCGGCTTAAAAAGGTACCACGGCTGGATTTTCTCAGCACTTTCTGGTTTCGAAAGGTAGGATGCAATGACGAAGATGTAATAGGAATACTATATGCCAAAGGCGTGTTTGCCAAGGAATGTTGTTGGTCTCCAATTTCCTGGACCGCGGGCGCTCGCACAGGTTCGGCGGGCGCTCGCACCAAGAGGGGCTCCAAGGTGGTCGCGCAAGCACTGGGCTCCATCGATCAGTTCAAGGCCGCCGGGCGCGACCTGAACGACCTGTGTGACCTCGTTCTGTGTTCCTTCCTGTTCGACCTGTAGGAAGTCTTGGAAGGTCTTGGGCGGTCTTGAGAGGAACCCGGCATCATGTAGACGCCATTTGGAGGAATCCACCCGCTCCCCATTTGGATTGAACCACCTCTTTACATGGGGGAGTAAAAATGGTAAAAACTCACTCATCGAACAACGACAGCGTCTGCTTTTTACGCGGTTCGTCCTGAACATCCTCCCCATGCCGTCCGCGCTCCCAGCTCGCTCCGATCGACGCTCGGATCAACGCGTCGTGGCTCCGCCACTCACCGCTCGCTGCAGGTCTTTGGACCTCCCGAAGATCCCTTCGAGATCGAGACCGACAAGGCGCACCCGCACCCGCGGGTTTCGCGCGTCCCGCACGCGCAGGGGACGAAGCGAAGCCCAAGCACCGGGAGGAAGCAATCGATTGGGAGGAAGCGGAAGCACCAATCGGGGCGCGAATGACGATCTTTTGGCGTGAGGATGTACCTCTTTTTGCTGGGCTGTGCCCTCTGAAGAACGCGGGGCGACGGTCAGGTGGTTTTGGGATGTTGGAGCCTTTTGAGATGCTTTTGATACGAAACACAACTTTTCATGGTTCGGTTTGAGAGTCAATAGTGTAGGCTTTCCTCCCCTTGAAAGCTCACTGTGTCACTGTCGAGAGGGGATGACTCAGGCTGACTCAGGCTTCACACATTGACGAGTGCCATGCCTGCCGTGCGTTTTTGCTTGACCTGCTGCACGTGCCGTGCCTGAGCCGACCTTTCGGCGCTTAGGAGTGGGTGGTGGGTGGTGGGTGGTTGGTCATGGCACCGGACTCCCTCCGGTTTGACCCTGGCAGGTTGACCGACTGTATAATAGGTCGTTGCTTTTCCTTCGGTCGGTGAACCCGTTTCGTCCGCCTGGTTTCAGTCCAACAGACCACTCCACTCAAACAGCTCCATGGTTGGGTTACTCTCCTGACAGGTGCTTGGTGTGGGTGGCCAGGGTACTGTCTACTTGTGCCACAAGAGAAGCACGCCCAACGTGAAGCATGCCGTGAAGACCATCCCCATTTGGCGACTGCTCATGGACCCCTCCTGTGATCAGAAGATCGCGGAGATCCGAAGCTGGGCGGCGAAGACCGTCCGTCAGTCAGACGGGCGACCACCCGCCGCCGGGCGACCACGCGCCGTTCCGATGGTTTGGTCCGAATTGGGTGGCCCGTAGACGCAGTGAGTGCACCCGGGGCTGAAAACGGACCAGAGTGGAAAAAACATTCTCTCCTAGTAGCGTCCTTGTTTCTAGTAGCGATGCCAGGAGCCCTAGTAGCTTCTTGTTCCTAGTAATAAGGTCAGGAGCCCCTAGTAGCTTCTTAGAAAATAGAAGTCTACAAACCAGTGCTTTTTCTTTTCAGGTTCCATGTCAATTTTCCAGATTGTATTGGTGGAGGGTCCATGAACAGTGGCATGCTGTCGCGGCACCCTGCGCTGGTGGCCAAAAGGTGTGGCATAAATTTACTGTCCTGAGGATCCCTGCCCTCCACGCAGTTTGTCCTTTATTTTGAAGAACAAAAGATACCCGCCCGCCCTCTCTCGCCATCACATGCCTCACATGCCGCACCATGCTGAGGAAAAGAGACCGATGTCTTGATGAAGATCCAGGGCCATCCCAACATCTGCAGCTGCCTCGGTTGCTTCGATGCTTACCGGCCTGGCACCTCCCAGGCTCAGTACATCATGATCGTCATGGAGCTCATTGACGGAGGCGGCGCGGCTCATGTGGGCGGGTCCAGATGCACATGTTTCACAAAGCGCCCGGCCCGTCTTTTTGTTCGCCATCTTTTCCAGTGAAAAGTGTTTGGACGATTCCTTTGGATTGGTGGAGGATTGTTTGGATTGGATGTTGAAACCTCAGATGCATTCTCCAGATGTTTGGTGGACTTTGTTTAGAACTTCGCCCGGCCCAGTTTGGTGAGGGTTTTTCTAGGAAGGGTCGACCCGAAGACCTCGCGGGGGCCCAGAATCACGTTAAGCTCAAAAACACCTGGTCCAAAAAGGAGGTGTGAGTTTTCGGCACGAAACCTTTGAGACGATCGATCGATGCTGATGTGTTTTCACTTGTGATTGTGCGCTCAAGCAAGGGCGGGCGCGCGCATAGCTAGAGCCAATCCGGATACGCCTTCGGAAAATCATGTGCGCTTGAGAGGTGCATTTCGGTTCCTGAACTTCGTGTGTCAAGGGATCATTTGTTGTTGGTGGCGCGGAGCCTTTTGTGCATTGGTTGGTTGCACATTGTACATTGAGCAACATTGTCATTGCTTGCGATTTGATCGTTGGTTGAGTTGGTTGCATTGACATTGGTTGCTGTCGGTCGTACATTGTGCATTGATGGCCACAGGGACTGCAGCGCAAGGCAGTGGGTCGGCTTCGACTGCTTATGTTGGAAAAGCTCACGAGAACGTTCCTGAGTTTTCTGGCAAGTCGAGCGACTACAAGGAGTACAGGAAGAGGTTGCTCCTGTACGAGAAGAAGATGAGTTTGGCCGGCAGGTCCTCAGAGACCAGTTTCAAGGTGCTGGTGACATTGAAGGGTCGTGCATGGGATGCATGTGATGACATCTCCATGTCAGATCTTGAAGGGTCCACCGCCATGCAGAAGATTTTGGAACGGTTGGATAAGGTCTTCAAGTTCGACGCGATCACGGAGCTTCCTGGAGATTTTGAAGCATTTTTCTGCACGTTGCATAGAAAGAAGAACTCGACGTTGCAAGAATATGCTGGTGACTTTGAACGAGCATTGAGGAAATTGGAAGCCCACAATGTCACATTGCCAGATAAGGTTGTTGGCTGGTATTTTATGAGGAGAGCTGGACTGACCCAACAGCAGAGACAGTTGATCATGAGTGCATTGGGCACTGGGACATTGTCGCTGGACACGGTTCGCAAGGCTATGAACTTTGTCATTGGGCAGGACAGTACACCTGAAGGTCATTCGACCTATTCCACCAAGGCCTCAAGTCGTTGGCGTGCGCCATACAAAGAAGCTGTTTACTATGGTGAAGAAGATGAAAGCTTTGATTTTGAGTATGGTGAAGATGCCGACGAGGAACCAGATTGCTTTTGGGCCGATGATGGTGGTGATGACGGAGAAGAAGAAGATGGCGATGATGAGATTCATGCAGTGAATGATGACCTTGCTGCAGAATACGATGAAGTCCTAGCTGGATATACAGAAGCCCGACAACGACTGAATCAGATGAGGATGAGCAGAGGATACTACCCGGTTGTTGCGATGATTCCAGAACAAGCTTCATCCAGTGGCAAGGGCAGTTTTTCATCGCCCAAAGGCAAGAGCAAGAGCAAAGGCAAGGGCAAGAGTCATGCTGGAAAAGGTGGAAAGCAGAATCCACGACCTCCACCTCAGCCAAAAGCCCGTGGCCGTGCAGCTCTTGGTGCAGAACGTTGCTTGCGTTGTGGTCAGGCTGGACATCGAGCCAAAGCGTGCCCCGTTGCTGGCAAGAGAAAAGCGGAGACAGATGCTGACATCAACATGGTTGCTCCATTCGAGTCCGATGAGCCAGATTCCATTCAGCTGGCAGTTGAGGAGAATGGCACTATGTCTCATGACATCGCCATGATGGACTGTGGAGCAGGTTCAGTGTTGACCTCAGAGGGAAGACTTCGAAAGTACCTCGAGATGTTGATGGCAGCAGGGTTCAATTTGAGCCAGATACAAGTCTTCCGTTGCAAGAAAGGCTTCAGGTTTGGCAATGGAGAGAAGAATATCACTTCTGTTTGCTTGCTTGTTCCCACGTTCATGGAGGGCCGCCGCCGTGACATTTTGATGTATGTCATTCCAGGTGATGCACCATTCTTGTTTGGACGCCCAATCATGGAGGCATTGGACATCACCATTTCCTATTCGGCAGGCAAGATCAAGTGGGGCCGCAAGGCATGGAAGAAGTGTGCTCGTGGCACTCGAGGCGAATTCATTTGCCACATGGCCTCAGATGTGTCAAGGTTGCTTGAGACGGAGCCTTCCAGCATCCTGCTCCCAGATGACTTTGAGCAACATGTTCACCCAGAGCCACTGTCCACCCAGATTTTCTTTGATGGTCAGGTGCAGTCGATGCTCAACGTGAGCGAGGACTCGGTGAACAGTGTCATTGATGAGCAGGAGAATTCAAGTTTCACATCAGTGACTACCATTTTGGAGTCACAACATTCAAGTTTCACATCAGTGACTACCATTTTGGAGTCACAACAGAGTCCATCGGCTTGTGAGAAGAGTGGACCACCTCCTGAAGACGCAGGGGCACAGCTGATGACGAGCCTTCAATGCAGTGAGATCACGATGGATCTCGAGTCAGATGATGACGTTGTGGTGACAGAAGAGTTGAGTTGCGATCCAAGGGCAAAACCAGATGAACATGAAGCTGCTTGCTCTCCATCCTCCACGCCAGAAGACCGTGAAGTCTTCCAGAAGCTGCCATCCGGCAAGCTTCGACAGCTCATGCATGACACCGAGCGGAGGATCAAAGAGTTTGAAGATGTTCTCAAAGCCTCTCCACTACGGGACTATGACCGCAAGTATGTCCTGTGGGAAGTGTTTGCTGGAGAAGGTCGTGTGAGCAAGACAGCTGCAAGGCGACAGAACATGCAGAGTGAACGTTTTTCATTGAGTGATGGTTGGGATTTTGCTCAGGCCTCCCACAGAATGGCATTTCTTCGTCGTTTGAAGTCTGAGGAGCCAGATTGTGTGTTGATCTCCCCTATGTGCAAGCTATGGAGCAGTCTGCAAGAGCTCACGTGTGCAGCTCATGAAGGCTATGCTGAAACCCTGGACATTGCGCGACAGTGGGACCACGACAACATCCTCATGTTTTGTTCAGTGATTTTTGAGCATCAGAGGAGGAAAGGCAAGCTGGCGTTGTGTGAACATCCCAAACGTTCACGTGCTTGGGCGACTCCAGCATTCCAAGCGATGAATGGGCGTGATGCTCATGTGGATCAGTGCATGTTTGGTCTGCGCCTTCTCAATGATCACAATGAGATGCTGCCAGTTCAGAAGCCCACGACATTTCGAACCACCAGAGCATCCTTGTCAGAGAGGATCAGCAAGCATTGTGATGGAACACACTCACACACTCACTTGGAAGGCAGTATTCCTGGTGTTGGTTTGCGTTCCTGGCTTGCAGAGAGTTATCCTCAGGCATTGGCCAGTCACCTCGTGAATGCTATCATTGCTGAGCTTGAATCTGATGACATCTTTGCTGTCGAGGATATGCCATCGGCTCAACAAGAGATTGCGGACTACATGGCTGGTCGTCATCAAGGAGCTGAACGTTTTGTCAGTGAGCCTCAGGCAGCAGATCCCAAAGATGACAAGAGAGCAGTAGCACTCGAGTCTGAAGAGTTTGACAGCTTGGATCCAGTGCGGAAGAACAGAATCCTACGATCCCAGGTTGGACCTCGTGCTGTTGAGTATGTGCAACGGCTGCACAAGAACCTTGGCCATCCAGGTTGGGAAGTTCTTCATCGCATGTTGAAAGAGATTCAAGCAACAGACAATGTTCTTCAGGCTGCAAAATTTTACACATGTCCGTTGTGCTATGCTCGCAAGCCTCCAAAGGCCAATCCACCTGCAAGTGGGCTGAAGTGTACTGAGTTCAATGAAAGGATCCTCGTTGATAGTCACTGGATTGCATGTGAAGACAGCATGGTGAAAGAACGAGTTCCTGCACCAGGTACACCAGCAGCTCGTCGCAGAGAGAAGGACAAGAAGGAGAAAAGGCCAACAGGTCGACAGTGCGTGTTGACAATCATCGACCATGCCACCAGATATTGTGCAGTTCGGATCCTACAATCTGAGCGCGCTGATGAGTTCACAAAAGGTCTTGAGCGTGCTTGGGTGAAGCATTTTGGAGTTCCGAAGATTCTGCGCATTGACGAGGCAAAAGGTTGGTCGAGTCAGCATGTCAGAGAATGGGCCACACAGCGTGGTGTGACGCTGGAAGTGCAACCTGCTGAGAATCATAGCTGGCTTGGTGTTGTTGAGAGGAAGCATCAAGTTGTCCGACGAGCGTTGGAATTGTTTATGGATCAGTGCGACAGTCATGATCTCAAGTCGTTGAAGAAGGCCGCACTGTATGTTCCTCATTCAATCAACCAGCTCAGCTTTCATCGTGGGTTCACTCCTCAGCAGTGGGTTCTTGGCAAATCCATGACCTATGTTCACGGTCTCAGTGGAGAGTTTTTCAATCCTGCACAAGAGGCCATCGATGAACAGGGCAATTTCGCTCAGATCCAGGCCAGACGGACAGAAGCTGCAAAAGCTTTCATTGCAGCAGATTCAGATGCCAAGTTGCGCCGAGCCTTCACTCAGAAGTTTGCTGAAATGCAAGAGGAGCTGGTGATTGGGCAAAAGGTTTGGTATTGGCGCAAGCATCAACGAAGGCTGCAAAAGTCCGGTTGGCGTGGTCCTGCGAGGATTGTTGCAATAGAAGAGCAGCCAAGTGTCAATGTGTATTGGCTTTGTCATGGCACATCGTTGTTACGTTGTGGTGCACGACAGGTGAGGCCAATGGTTGAAGACACTGGGATGCCGGTTGCATGTGATCGGCAAGCAGCTCTTCGTGACTTGCAAGAGTTGAAAGCCAGGAGCACCACACAGTTCAAGGATGAACTTCGACGCAGTGGCCAGATCGACGAAGCAGATGAGCTTGACGGAGATGATGTTGAGCTTGATGCAGAGTATACACCATCATTGCCAGGAAGTGTTGATGAAGCAGAAGACCCTCGTTCAGATGATGATGCATCAACTGGCAATGCAAAAGAGACAGAAGAGCCCAATGTTCCTGGAGTGATTAGTGTTTTCCTTCCAAGGTTGCAGGCAGAAGATCGAGAGAGAACACCCCGACGTCGTGAGTCGGTGACTACTGCAGCCCCAACAGAGATGGAAGATGATACAGCACATGCTCCAGCTCCATCGAGTCCAAAGAGGAAGTCAGAAAATGTTGCTTCTGAAGAGCCACCGGGAAAAGCCATCAGGGCATCCAGTTCAGTGCCTGAGTTTCCTGGCGATCTTGGAGGAGGAAGCATCCCCGTGCCGGACGATGATGATCTGGTGATAGAAGATGTTTTTCTGACACAGCTTCCTGAAGATGTTCCATCAGGATGGCAAATTGTTGATGGTGAACTTGAGATGGACGATGTCTTGATGGCCGCAATTCGCAAAGGTGAGGTCAATGAACGGAAGCTGGATCCTCAGGGCCGAGCTCAGTTTGTTGAAGGCAAACGCAAGGAGCTTGATCAATATTTTAGCAATGCAGTATGGCAGTTTGCAACGACAAGTGAGATTGAAAGTGCCATCAGAACAAAACGTGTGATTTCTGCTCGCTGGGTTCTTACCTGGAAGAAGTTGGAGACAGAAGATGGCATCACCCGTTGGAAGGCCAAGGCCAGATTGGTTTTGCGAGGATTTCAAGATCCTGACATCTTGAACATGAAGACCGCAAGCCCAACTGCCGGTCGAACCAGTCGAACTATGTTGCTGACAGTAGCTGTTTGGATGGAATGGTCAGTGTTTTGTGCTGATGTTCAGGCGGCTTTCTTGTCTGGAAAAGGTTTTGACAGGGTGCTCATTGTCAGGCTGCCAATGGATTGTTTGCCGTTGGTCGATGGAGGACAGCAGAAAGTGTACAAGAAGCACTTGTACATGAAGATGAAGAAGAGTGCGTACGGCTTGTGCGACGCACCGCTGCTATGGTTTCAAGAAGCTGCTTCTAGGCTGACAAAGCGTGGTTGGTTGAGCCACCCACTAGATCAGTGCTGCTTCGTGTTGCCATCCAGCAAGGATCAGAGCTTGACAGGCATGTTGATTTTACATGTTGATGACATGTTGCTGGCTGGAAGCATGCAAGATGCTGAGTTTGCACAGGCAGTTGAGTTCCTTCGCAAAGATTTCAATTTTGGCAAATGGGACGAGTTGACAGAAGATCAGTCGTTGAAGTACTGCGGAGGAACAATCCTGAGGAATCAGCATGGCATTGAGGTCAGCTACGAAGAGTATATCAAGAAGCTCTGTCCGATGACCATCCACAAAGGTCGAAAAGATGAAGACAGTGTGACACCGCAAGAGGTCAGTGCAGCTCGTGGCCTCATAGGAGCGCTACAGTGGCCTGCAACCCAGGGCATGCCGATCTTGCGCGCTTCGATGAGCATTCAGGCTGGTGAAGTTCCAAAGGGCAAGGTGCTGCATATCCGTGAGTTGAACAAGACATTGCGTTTTGCAAAGTCGAATGCAGCAGTTACATTGAAGTTTCTTGGTTGCCCAGCTGGTGAGAAGAAGCGTGGTCAGGCTAAAAGTCTGAGTGATTTGTGCCTGGTTTGCTATGCAGATGCTGCATTCAGCGTGAGGTCAGATCATACCTCGCAAGGAGGATTCATGATTTTGGCTTGTGAGAAAGGAGTCTTGCAGGGTCAGAAGCGGCCAGCATCCATTGTTGCTTGGAGGTCGTTCAAAGTCCCCAGAGTTTGCAGGAGCTCTTTAGCCGCTGAGTGTCAGGCATGCGCCACAGCCTTGGAGGAGCTCCTCATGGTCAAGACATTTACAGAATGTCTTCGGAGGCCTGGTGTCGCTTTGAAGGACATCAAGGACAGCCTTTCAGGTGAGTCAGCCATGGTGACAGATTGCAAAGCACTCTTTGACGCTGTGCATCGTGAAACGATTCAGCAAGCAGCAGACAAACGTGTTGCAATAGAGGGCTTGGTGATCAAAAGTTTGCTGGCAGATTTACATTGTCAGTGGCGTTGGGTTTCAAGTGAACGCCAATTGTCAGATGGCTTGACAAAGGTTGGAGCTCGACAGAACTTTGTTGAACGATACCGTGGTAGCCACATACAGTTGGTTGCTGATGAAGGGTTCGTTGCTGCAAAGAAGAAGTCAAAGGAGGAGCGAGCAAAGACGATCCGTGAGACTCGCACCACACGTTCTGACATAGCGCAGAGTTTGATTGCGCTGATCATGGCAGATGAGGTGACGAAGGCCGCTGCATCCACTCATGATGACTGGAGTTTCGGTAGCTTTGAGGCCCTCATTGTGTCGAGCATTGTTGGAGCATTGACATTGTTGTGGTTCCTTGGTCGGCTTGTGTTTTCGTGTTGCCCCACCAGAGGTGAGACGCAGTCCAAGGCAGATGAAGAGATCGCCCGACTCAAGCTGGAACTCCATGAGCTTGAGGATGAAATGGAGCGAGAGCGTGAAAGCATCTTGAAGGATCTGGAGAGAGAAGAAAAGAAGAACCATGATTTGAGACAGGAAAACCTCCGGCTTCAAGGTGAGCTGATGTTGGCGAATGAAGCAGTGCAGCTGTTGAGGACTGGTGCTGTTTCAGGACCTGCAGTCATGACAGCTCCAGGGCCGATCTACGTGACTCCCTCCGGTGAATGCTGGCATCGAACTCGCACATGTGGTGGGTCGAACAGTGTCTGCAAAAGACCATGCAACAGGTGCAATCCTGGCTAAGCTCCCACCGATGTGAGTTTTCGGCACGAAACCTTTGAGACGATCGATCGATGCTGATGTGTTTTCACTTGTGATTGTGCGCTCAAGCAAGGGCGGGCGCGCGCATAGCTAGAGCCAATCCGGATACGCCTTCGGAAAATCATGTGCGCTTGAGAGGTGCATTTCGGTTCCTGAACTTCGTGTGTCAAGGGATCATTTGTTGGGAGGCTTCTAGAGCAGTCTCGATCGTTGCCCCCCCGCAAGAAGCGACAGCTGGTGCTACCCACCCTGGCAGCCGATTCCGATTTCCACGGCAACCGCTGCGGCGCCTTCGGCCGGCCGCTGCGGCGCCAGGTGAGTTGGCGGGCTACATCAAAGATGGCCAGAACAGCTTGCCCGAGGAGAGGCTGTGCTCCTGCGACCCGAGAAGAAAGCAAAATTGAAGAACTGCCGTTGTCTGTTGCGAAGAACACAGGCCGCGGTGTCGACTGGCGCGGCCAAGCACCTCATTAGGTTGAACCAGATGTGAATGGAAGCGAAGATATATAGTATACAGAGAACTTGATAGAAATTGTATAAGACTTGTTGACTCGTTTAAGGTTTTCTGTGTGTGAAGGAAGGGCCGTTGGCTCTTGCTCCCAACTTGAGAAGGGCAGAAGGCCGTCGCCGTCGCCCCCGTTGTCGCGGTCTTCTCCGGAGTCGGTTGGCCGCCGCTGCAGCACGCAGGACGTGGTGAAGAGCGTGGCGAAGCAGACCGCGGCGGGGTTGAAGTTCATCCACGACAAGGACGTGGTGCATCGCGACTTGAAGGCGGAGAACATCTTGGCCCCTCGGAGGAAGGTTTCGGATGGGGTCGGAGGTGCCCGTCGAAGCTCCGCAAGGAACGACTGCTGCTTGTTACCGAACGTAGTAAGAAGCGCCACGTTCTTTTTTCTCGTGCGCCTCGCTCCGTGTCGCTCGCGGCGATCAACGCTCGCTCCGTTCGTCGCTCCCACCGCACTGACCGCACTGAGGTCTGTGCACAGCAGATCACTGCCACGACTCCCGTCCCGTGGTGAGCACCGTGCCGTTCGGTGTGGAGGACGAGTCGGAGGACGGTCGGCGACCTGTTCGGTCAAAGCCAACCACATCCAACGACCGAAGACGAAAAATACACTTAACAAGAAGGGTTGGGTCCTGGGTGTGTTTTTCCGAAAGGGTGGTCACCTCTATGGGGAAGATGAACTCTCGCACCAGTGCTTGCGTGGTCGCAAGTGTCAAACGCACTTGCCAAAAGGAACTAGATGTGGCAGGGCACCAAAACCAGGGAAGGATATTTGGGTTTGGAACCAACCCGATAAGGAAGGCGTCTCAAGTAAGTCGTGTCCCAAAGTCTCGACAGTGGTGTTTTGCAGACACTCAAACAAACTAATGAAATGCAAGCAATAGGGGTGATGCAAACCATCACTCCTGACACTGCAATGTTTGGTGATCCACTAGCTGCCTGGGGCGCCTCTTATTGAACAGAATGGATGAACAGAAGCATTGAATGCTTTTGCTCAACACCATTCCAGAAAGATCCAGAAAGCATGAGCAACATGTTTTCATGATAGAGACGCTGGCGTCAATGTTGCACACCAATGTGACATACCAATCGAGTAGAGATGGGAAAACGCCTGGGAGAAGACAACAATCGAAAAAGGACAGTTGAAAAACGGCCATGCAAGAATTGAGAACTTATCCAGTTGGTAGCTGTGTGGGACACAAGGACGCGAGACAGCAAAAATCACCGAAGCGGGGCTTTTTGCGGGCGTAGGTCCAGTGGATTTGCGGTACTGTACCCTTGGATGCCTGGGACTGTTTGCCAAGCTGGTTGAGATGCTTGATGTTGGCCAAGCAGCTCATCATCATGTTATAGTCATAGTCCTTGACTCGATTGTTTGTTATTCCTTCATTGACCCAATGGACTTGAGGCCAGCGGTAAACGAACACCAGGTGAATCATGAACGATGTGTCTAGTGGTGTCAGTCCCCAGTGGTTACCTAAGTTCTTCTACGCGCCTCTGCAACCAATTCGGGTTTGTTTAACTCCCAGCAAGACACGGCCATAAATTAGAAGGTACCCCATCTGAATCTTCACACGTGCTACCGCAAGACTTTTTCAAAGAGAACGACACATTTTCTCCACAAAGAGGAAACAACATTTTAGTCCAAGATGTTCTACTAAGACCTTGCAAAAATCCCCTAGAAGACCTGAATACTGTGTTCCCCAAGTCCCGTTTGGGAGAGGCTGAACGTTTCAAGAGATTTGATCAGCGTTCCGTGCTCAAGGCACCGATCCACATGTGCTAACGCGTTTGAACGTTCGTGGAACTGTCGTTTGGAACCGTCGTTTGGAACGCTGCAGGTGAAGCTGATCGACTTCGGCGTGGCCAAGAGCCTGTCGGGCACCATCGCGCGCAGCTGCGTGGGCACCACCGAGATCATGGCGCCGGAGCTGGTGAGTGCCAAGCTGATGATCGCCCCGAAGGGCGCCTCCATGAAGAAGCACGGACCATACACCTTCAAGAGCCCACAGGAGGGTGTACACAGGGTGCGGAGGGTGGGGGGGGGGGCAGGGTGTCAACGGGGTGTAAACGGAAAGAAGAACACACGTGCAGTCAGGTGTCGCAAGTGTGGCCCTTGGGGTGGCCCTTGGGCCGAGTTGGGTGGGATTTTCGGTTGGATTTGTTCCTCCAAGCAGCTTACTGTTGGGGTTCTCTTTTGGGACGGAAACCATGGCCAAGACTCCTGCTGAAACTGTTTGGGGCTCTATGCTCTAATGGTGATGAGCGTTTCGGAAGGGCAAGGGACCTCCAATACAGCCTACGCACCGCTCTCACAACAAAACCCCCTACAACCTTGTAAGTCATTTTGGGGCGCATGACCACCACTCACCAAGATACCTCTGACGAACTGCCGCGACAATGCTGCAGTTGAACGTGTCGTGATATGTTTGTTTTGTTAGGGCATGCGCGTGCAAACAGCCGCAACAACACCAACATGTGGTTCAGTGCAGGACCGCAGGATGGATCCATCCATCCTTTTTCTCTTCCCCCCCTTTTTTCCCACCGAACCTTCTTCTCTTCGCTTCCAACCAAAGCCCCACCGACAAACCGCGTCGTCACCGGACCTCGTTCTTCGGGTCTTCCAGGAGGCGTCCCCGGGCTTCGGCATCGTGACGCAGCGCCCGGATGGGAAGGGCGCCATGGTGAACGGCATCGAGCCCGGAGGCGATGTGTTTTTTTTCCACCAAACTAAGCAACATCAGAGAAACGGGAACCGACATATAGTTCATCTATGTTCAGTTTTACATTTATTTTCTTTTATTTTTTGTCAGGTTACACCAAAAGCTGCTTGATGGCAGGTGTCTTGTTGCTGCATGTTCCGGTTCCATCGAAGTCCGCTCCATCCTGCGAGGCCAGGCTGCCGGCTTCAACGTGGGCGACGGCTGGGCGATCTCCTCCATCAACGGCACTGAGATTTTGGAGATGCCTTTCGTCAAGGAGATTTTTGGGGCGAACTCCTCTCAGAATTTGGGTGTGGTTCGGATGGTGTGGAGGGCGGGTTTGTTGGGTCACGTGTTGTGAGCGTTGTGTGTGGTGTGGTGTGGTGTGGAGGTCGTTGCGGACTGCAGCGGAAAGCTTTCATACAAGATTTCTTTTTGGTGGCTGAGAAGTGGGAAGGATGAAGCGACTCATGGCATATGGTGTTTATCCGATAATCTCAGCCCGGACGGACATTTCGATAGGACATCTCGAAGGGCGGATTCCACACATCTTTGATACAACACGTGGTGATACGTGAACGCTTCTTTCTTTCCATCAACTGACTAAGACCCTACTGCAATTATATGTTCCTGTTTTGTTCTCCAACTGGAAGGGGATGATGATTTTTCCATGATGTCAAGTCCAAAGATGGCGACGAGGACCAACTCCAGGACTTTCTCCCCGTCGCCGTCGCCTCTCACCGTCGCCAATGCCCCTGACTCGCCTGACTCGCCCACGCCCTCGCCGTCCGCAGGACTTCAACGAGCTGGGCGCCGGAACCAAGGTGCCACCGGACCCGTCGGCGGCGCCGCGGCGCCGCGGCGGACCGGCGGTGGGGTGATGAGAGACTGAAGGGCGAAGGCTGAAGGGCGAAGAGGCTGCAAAAAGACTGCTCAGAGTGCTCAGAGTGCTAAGAGCTTGGTGAGTGGATCGGTGAGTTGGGGGCAGCGACCAACACCAGGCGGGCGTGACGGCCATCGCAGAGATCCTCGGGAACCTGAACGGCCCCTTCACCTGCGAGTTCGTGGAGCTACCAAAGCGAGAGTTCACCAAGGCGCACAGAGGACCGGAATGAGACCACACGGACGATGCGGGGTCCGATGGATGCGGGGCTTAACCCGCCAGGAGGCATCCTGGCAGGTTTCGGAGGGGCTTTGGAGGGGTTCCATTTCGTCGAGAGGGTGTGTGGCAGTGGGGAATTTCATGGTTCTTTCGGGTCACGGATGCAGCGAGATGCAAAACAAACGCGACCCACCCTGGGGTGCTTGGGGGCGCGGTGACTCGATGGCCAAATGCCCCAAAGACATTTTCTCAAGCTGTCCCACTTCAACACTGGTGAGTTTCACTTCAAAAGGGCACTGCAAGTCATTGCAGTGAGCACTGTGTTTGGCCAAACGACTGGGAGCTTTCCTTTTGAGATCGGGCTGTTCGACCAGTCGTTCGAGTGACTTGGACTGACCTCCTTTCGGGTCCACTGATCTTCGGTCAGACGGGTCGAGTCTCCACTCGTGGAGGCAGGGGTCGGTGGGTTCGATTGACGATCGCGGCCTATGTGTCCGTATGGTTCGAGCTGGTTTGGGAGGTTCGAGTTGTCGCGATGGGCTCTGTTCTTTTTTGGGGGTTTGGGTGTCCTGGGCTCGAATGAGCTTCCATGGGTCTGTTGGGAGGGGGATATCGGCGCCGGCCAGATGCCCCAAACACCGCTCGCTGCGCGACTCGACGTTCGAACCTCCGGTCCCCCCCCAGTGGGGTCGGGCCGGTCCAGCTCAGGCGTGAACTCCACAGCGCAGGTGATCACCTCAGAAAGCCATTTGGGGAGACACTTTTCAACAACAACAAAGAAGGGGGGATCCAAGACTGGAATGGTGTCAACCCCCCAAACCATTCCATTCCGAACTTGAGCGTCCGGGGGAATCCACTTGGGGAAAGAAACCGCCGGAGTGTGGGGATCCACTTCACCCAGCGGTGGAGTCACCGTCGGAGCGAACTCCACTCGTCCGACGAGCGGATCGCCGACAGTCGGTGGATCTGTGGAGCCTGGGCGTGACGATGTACGTGATGCTCACGGGTGTGAAGCCTTTCACGGAGCCAAGCCCGGTTGAGCGGAGAGTGAGTTGGGTGGGCTGGAGAGTGGTTGAAAGGGGAGAAGGGCTGGGGAGAAGGAGAGAAGGAGCTGGTGAGCTGGTGTGTTTTTTGCACGTTGTTCTTTCACAAAGCTTGGTTGAGCCAAGGATATGGGGTTGAGAATAAGGTTTCGTAGGTTTCAGAGAGGTATTTGTCAATTGTTTTCTGGTCAAATGCTTGCAAGAGACTGGTGTGAGAATGCAACCTTTGGACACCCCGGGAAAGTTGTATGACAGATAGTTCAAAGTCGTGACATAGAACGGAGGAGATTCAAAACTGGATCACCCTGAATCACAAACAAACCAATGAATCGAAGGACCTTGGTCTCTTGCTCCTTCAAGTGTATTGCATGGGCATCACGATCAGTTTCGCATGTTCTGGGAATTGTTGGCGCGCCATGTGCGCAACTCACGCTGTGGGCCGTGGGGAAGGAATTCTCTGCCAGTTCTACCAATATGTTGCACATGTTTTGGATGGCGAACTAGCCGCTTGGCTCGCCAGCCACAGCCCTTCGGAGTGTCTTTTGCTTCGCTTCTGGGAGAACGCTGCACTGCCAAGAGAGTCCTTAGAGGTCAACCCACTGTATTGCGCCGAAGATCCTTTTCAAAGCTGGTTTTCTATTGGACCAATTCAATTGGTTCTGGCAAGGTCCTCCATGTACGGTCTCTTAGAGTTCTTCTACTTTCAATAGTCATCATTGTTTGTGGGGGTTGACCACCTTGTGTCTTTGTGGGACCACTTCGCCGTCCCTCGGAAGGCGCTTTCCTTCATCGAAGACGGTCCTTCATCGCCCGCTTCCCACGGCAAACCGATTCCTGCGCTGTCCAGGAGGAGGCCAAGATCGTGGATGGTGAGTATGATCCTAGCCTGTTGAACCGCTGCTCCCCACAGGCCCAGGAGCGACCCGACCCGCCGGTTCCACCGGTCGCGTTCCCTTGTTGATGGGAGTGAGCGACCCACCGTTCCGCGCTTGACGCGGAAACGCTGAAGGCTTGGAAAAGTCAGGACTGATCACTCGAGACTGGATCTTTTGAAACATGATCTGCTTCTGATTCAAAAGATCCAGTCTAGAAGAAAGCTCGTCAGGGTCCCCAACAACACACACACTTGCGCAATCGAGCCGCCCCAACCAAAATCGGCGGTCAGACCTGCAGAGGAGGACCTCATCAGGGTGCCCCAACCCAAATCCATTTTGGGCGCATGCTTTCTCCGCCGCGTGCTTTCTCCTTGCGCGTTCGGAGCTCTCGGGCGATCCGTCGACCGTTCGGACCCTCGGTTGAACCGGTTCTCCCCTGGAGGCGTCGGACTCCGCGCCGCGCCGCGCGACTCCTCGCCGCGCAGGACCTGGTCCGAAGCCTCCTCAAGGTGAACCCGGCGGAGCGACCGACCATCGACCAGGCGAGGTCGAGGTGGTGTGACGGTCTCGGTGCTAGAGGCGGGAAAATGGTGGCGGGGATGTGGCAGGTTGTTTGTTTGTTTTTTTTGTTTCGCGGAAAAAAGAACACAAAAGAGTTGGCGTTTTTATTCTTCATCCTTTCGAGTTTTTGGAGTGATGACAGGTTTCTTGTGATTGGCTGTTGAGATCAGCTAGAAATGCAGGTGGGAAGAACAGAGTTTCCCAAAGGATGTGGAGAGTTCTGGCATAGGCGGAAGACACACGGAGAGGGCAGTAGAGCGGGTACGAGCTACGAAAGAAAACAAGTCGTTTTTCAACCGATGTCTTCCCACCCAACCGATGTTGCTATCAGGTTCTGGCACACCCCTTCTTGCAGTAGATGAATCCGATGAGCACAGGCGTGGTGGCGGGATTGGAGGTGGACGACAACTCTGTGGATAGACTGGGATTCTTTTCCAGAACCAGTTCTTGCGCAGCATAGATGAGGGGTCCATATGAACCATGAACCACTTGATTCCTTCTTTTCTGTGATAGGCATTTTCAGATACCAAGGGTCCTGGCAGGGTCTGACAACTTTCATTCCGGTGATGTTGTTTTGCATCGAAAGTGCCCACATGAAAGTGCCGCAGTCCCCCGCATTTTTACATTGCCCTGGCGACGTGGATGGAACACCAAAGTAGAGTGACCAAAATGCGGACCTAAAAGTTCAGACGAGTTTCTGTGACTTACGAGGATGAATTGTAAGCCTTCACTTCACTCGCTCCATGTGTTTTAATATGTTTAGCAGCGGCACATGGGTGGAGGGATCTTCCTCCGTGAATTCCAAGGTCGGATTTTGGGTCAGTGCTAGAGAAAGCCAATGCCTCAGGGTTTCTGAACCACCCCTTCCTTTGCGACTTAAAGACCAGTTTGAGAGTGGACGGACCTCGGCCTTTAAAGCGAGCCCTGGCACCGGGGCCACCCGTGGCATCGCTTGGGGGATGGGCAAACATGCACCGTGTAACAGGGTTCCAAGAGGCGGAATGTCACCCCTCCGGTTCGGTGGTGTCCACGGCAATCCGTAGAGAGCTCACCCGGGTGACGAGTCTGTGGTGAACGGGGTTCCATGAAATGTCCCGAGTCTGTGGTGAGACGGACACTGTGGGACTCCTGTGGACACAGTTCGTGTTTGGACATCCCCGAGTCGAGAGTATTCCACGTGGTCGAAGACTGCTCGTTCGATGCAACGCACCTGGAGAACCGTTCGCTGCGCGTCTCCCCGCGAGGACGCGTGGAGTGCGTCGCGGTCAGCCCAGGTCCGACCCAATAGAACTCCGAGCCTCTGAGCCTCTGAGCTTGATCCTTTTGACTTAGAAATGGTGGAAATCCTTCTTCGATACGGAACTCGGGAGACGTTCAACTCACTCACAACACGAAGCGAACAGACGAGAGACGGAACAGAGAAGCCATGTCGGAGGAGAGCAGGTCACTCTTCAACCCCGAAACACTGTCTGCAACCAAAAGTCGAGCAGTGAACTTTCGTAGCCCAAGTCGTCCGTTTGGAATCTCGGCACTCCAGAAAACCATTCTCAAAATACAAACAATTCTCCCAAATGGAAGTCGACGTTGAGAGCTTCGTCGAACGAGTTCCGGATTTTCTCAGTTTTCCACGATCGGCGCTTTTTACAAAAAGAGGGGCGGCCGCCGCGACGCCTCCGCGAACGCGACCGGGAGCGCCTCCGCGACCGGGGAGGGGCCGGCGGACAGGGTCGGGTCGGCGTCTCCATCAGCACGTTGGGATCCTGGTCTTCCCCCTTTTTCGACCATTCGAAGTGGAGGTGGCGTCCTTCGAGGTTCATGTTTTTCACCTGTTACCTGTCTTTCGGAAGGGAAAGGCGTTGTTCAACCGAAAAGGACTGTGGTTTGTGTGCACACGGTTTCTGGCCGAATCATGCACGATGACATGGAAATAGTGAAGGATCACACCCCAAAGCTGAGGAAGTGGAAAAGGAGTGAGGCAGGACCTAGGACCTATAGGACCAGTTTTTCTTGTTCTTGGCCCAACAACCCCCCAAAATCAGAACCACAGGGAAACGCACGTGAGAGAGTTCATAGCATTTCTGCAGCCGTATTTGGAAGGCGTTGTTGTGATTTTGCCGGATGGATCAGGGTCGAAGTAAACGACTGGTGTGGGTTTCGACACGACCACCTGATGAACATGAGGACGTTTTCTTCTCGTTCCCCTTGGGGATTCGAAGCATCTGCACTTGGGGTGGCATCATCAGCACCTTCCAAAAGCCATCGGACAGCTCAAAATCACTGGCCATACCGGTGTCAAGACCGGAGGCCCTATGGATCATACCATACGGTCATTGGTTTTCTCCCGCCATCAATCATCTCCTTCCTGACCGGAGGAGGAATGGGCCCTCTTCTCTGTGATCCCTCTGAGGTGGACCGGATCGATCCCGCACCCAGGTGATGGACTCGACCTCCGTCGCGAGCGTCGTGCAGGCGCGGTGCGCGCGGTGCGGTGGGGACGAGAGCCGAGGAGAGTTCTCGCCGGTCCGGGCACAGGTGGAGTGGATTGAGCTCTAAAGGGGCAGGCCGCCGGCCATTAGGAGTCGTTACTGATTAGCTTCGTGTGATTAGTAGTAATGCCAGGTGCCAGGAGCTACGTTCGTAGCTTCTGGCTCCTAGCAGCGATGCCCTTTAGTTACTGATTAGCTATCTAAGTGCCATTTGCTCCAGGAAAAGAGGATCAGAATATCTAAGATTTCTTATCATCTGTAATGTACATGGTACAGAAACATGATGGTGGCGCATTCACGTGTGTGACATTGTGGGTTGTCTTTCTTGTTTTGGGAGTAGGGGCGTTGCATGATGCCGATGCGCTGGGATGAACTCTTGGATTGGAAGCGTTGTGCCCAAGAGCAGCGGATACCAACCATCAAACCAACCATGCAAACCTACGCAACACCAGCGCAACCACTTCTTAGAATGCTGTGAGCAGATGGTTTTCGACTTATGCTGAACTTGGCATGAGCTCGCAACACGTGAGGGGAAAACCACCGTTTGACCCATGGCATGAAACAGCAACAGCCAACAGCCAACTCCCAACCGCCAACGAAGGGTGGACCATCTGCCGACCCGACCCGACTCGGCTCGTCTCTTTGGGCCCGATCTCCGGGACCCGATGGCTGCCGGCTATAAGCCGGGCGATGCGGCAGCGGAAAGCGAGGAGACGGCACCAGTAGACCGGCTTCAACAGACTTGGATGGAACAAGTCTGAAACAGCCACTAGATAGAGCTTGTAGAGCTTGTACAGAAAACATTGGGTGGCTTGTGAGGTTGGGGTCTAGCTTCCGAGGCAGCGACTATTCATTCAGGATTGTTTATAGAATTGAAATTGACACACTGCAGAAGCCTTTTTGGGTTCGATTCTCACATTCCCCATCCAAACTGGGGGGCACCAGGCCTTGCAAAAACGGCTCAACTGCTTGTGGCTGTTGGTGGACACTGGAACTTGGAACATCAACGATGCATGACAATGCTCCTGTTGTATTGATATGATATGATACATACTGTTGGGGGAAGAGCGTTGAGGGCAACCCGCATGGCTGTCTCCGGGTGAGCAGGGTAGGATGTAGCCTATTACCTGTAACAGTTGGTAAACAAAATTATTATCCCTGTCACTAATTATATTATCTCTATATATTTTAGAGAAAGGCCTGCAACTGAACCATCA